ATTTTTGTATTTTTAGTAGAGACGGGGTTTCACCATATTGGCCAGGCTGGTCTTGAACTCCTGACCTCATGATCCACCCACGTTGGCCTCCCAAAGTGCTGGGATTATAGGCGTGAGCCACCATGCCTGGCCGAGCTAAAGTAATTTTCTTTGTCAATACAGGAATATAAACTAATATGCTTCTACTTAGGCAAATAATATATTCATGAAATGTTTTATGAAAATCAATTTTTGTATTTAAAATCAGATAGAACTGTACCACTGGGGCAATTATTTGAAGGACTTCCATGATGCATACTTACGTATAGTGAAAAGTTTATCCCTAATTTATCTACTTTGTCAGTCTGACTTTCCCCCTGTTGTTGTGCATAGGCTCCCTGTTGAAAGAAAACTCTTTTTACCCCTCTAGGTTCTGGGTTCCTTGCCTGGGAGGAGGCAGGAAACTGAGATGGGTTACAGCTGGTCGGTTTGAGGACAGGTTACCTTTCCAGGCAGACTTGGTAAAGAACGGTGATTTCAGCTTGGTGCTTGGTGTTCAGAGGCTGCAAAGGAAGATAGTTTAGACTTCCAGAAGGCAGATTTTTGGAGACACAGAGGGTGTGTTTACAGAAGGATTGGTTTTCTTGGCAAGAGAGGTGAACAGTCTGGGACCACCTTAGAGGAGACAAAAGAAAGACTGGGCATGGTGGCTCATGCCTGTAATCCCAGCACTCTGGGAGGCTGAGGCAGGAGAATTGCTTGAGCCCAGAAGTTTGAGACCAGCCTAGGCAACATAGTGGGACCCTGTCTGTGAAAAAAGATTTTTTAATTAGCCGGGTCTAATGGTGTGCACCTGTAGTCCTAGTTACTCAGGAGGCTGAGACAAGAGGATCACCGGAGCCTGGAAGGTCAAGGCTTCAGTGAGCCATGATGGTGCCACTGTACTCCTTCCTGGGTGACAGATTGAGACCTTGTCTCAAAAAAAAAAAAAAAAAAAGAAAAAAAAAAAGAAAAAAAAAAGACAAAGGTAAAGGCCACATTTGTGTATGCTCTTTTCCCTCTCCCTTATCTTCCAGATTTGTGTCATTTTATTTTAGGTCTGCTCCTCTTTTTTAGCTTTTGAAACTTAGGATATTTAAGATAAGGAAAGTTAAATACAATTTTAGTATATCTACCCTGGCTAATTAGATAACCAAAATATTCCAAAATTTCCCAGGTTTTAGACTGTATTGGATATTCTCCATCTGAATAGGTCAGAATTTAAATAATCAGAGCACATGAAAATAACAAAAAGTTAAAGTTCAATATAAAAAGCATCTGAAAATAAGAGCCCAGTGACATCAGAGAATAAACAGCATATTTTTACAAAGCAATTATCCTGGAAACTCTAGGAAGAGACTTTGGGAATGGGGTGAAAGAATAGCACTGAGAAGGTAAGGACAGGGAGGGTCAAGAACACCTTCAAGGGACCTCTATGGCATTATGGGATCACAGGATAAGCTGCTTTCTATCCCCTACCCTGCCACAAATCAAGCTAGTTTGATGTGAACACATTTCTTGCAGTGTATTTAGAGAGGCGCCGAGGAGGGCAAGCCTTTATCCAGCAATTTGAAACTTTAGATTTCTACAGTGACCTTTGGGATCTGGACTACTATGCAACGGTTATGAAATCTTGAAGATGAGGAGTGAAGGCTGGTCCAGCATTGCGTTGGACACATTAGGATCAAAGGACTCCTGTTTACCCTTGTGACAAGACTCAACGCACATCTGCTTCCAAAAAGAGGTTTCACCTTCTGTCATCCTTCATTCAGAGTTAGACATCCTGGTAGAGCTAGGGCAGAGTAGAGGAAACGGATAGAATTTGAGGTGGCCTAGACATATTTTATCGAATTCACAAGAGTACATTCTTTCCTACTACCGGAGGTTAAAAAAAAGAGCTTGCTTTAGAAAAAGTACTTCGTGTCCTCTTCATTGGAGAAGGGAAAGGCTATGAATCCAGCCTTTCTTTGTGTTTGCACAATCACTGAAGAATGTTCTTTATAACCCCTATGACTATTGCTGCCCAACTCTGCCCTTTATCACTGCCCTAATAAAAAGAGAACACGAAAAGAAAATAGTGTTGTAAGTTTTGTTTTTTGTTTTGAGTCATTTTCTCAACACGAAAAGAGTTTCCCCAAATTGGAAAAGAAGGAACTTAATTCTAGCAGTTTGGTAAAGAGTTGAGGAAACAGATGGAGAAAAGAGATGGATTATATTAACACTCGGACAAAATAACAGAAAGTCTTAAAGTTCCAAAATTAGTCTGCAGCCTTGTTTTGAACATAGCTGGTGTCAGGGCTGCTTTTTCCATTCTTTTAGACTCACATGTACAGAGCTGCACAATTGTGGAGGAGGCTGGCTGTCCTTGAGTGCAACCGTCCAGTGGATGGAGAGATGGTTTTCAGAGATTCAGTCTAGCCTACTATGAAGGGCTCCCACATCTGTTTTGGAAAGGCTTTATAATTTTTTTTAGGGGTTTGGCCCAGCAAATAAGTGTTCAGAATCTGTCAGAGCACCTGTCTTTTGGGGCCCGTGGACGAGTGTGACTGCTGTATATATTCAGTCATATTTTATATCAGTTTCCATCAGCTGTTGCTTTTTTGGATTAAAAGAAAAAAAGACACTGCCAAGAGATTTGAAGGAAAATTCTATCCTCGAGGGAAACCCTACTTTGGAATATGTCCCTAATGAGATCTTTCCTCCCCAAATCCTCATTATTTTGTTTTCAGAGAGAGCTGGAAATGTTTTTTAGTAGGATCCCTGGAAAGGGAACTGTGGGGAATAACCTCGTTTGCATGTTACTTGGATGACCTCTAATTTCTTAGGGGTGTTATGAAGTCGCAACTGATCCCCTTCCCTCCCCAAATACTCATCAGGATTCCACCATCATCTTCAGGTTTCTGTTCAGGCATCACTTAATCAGAGAGGTTTCTGTTGCCTCTCTCCTTTCCCTTCCCTATTTTATTTTTCTCTGAGCACTTGCCAGCATTTGACATACTGTATTTACTTGTTTGCTTCCTGCTTGTCTCCCTTCACTAGAATATGGGCTTTGCTTAGCTTTGAATCCCCAGCACTACTAGCACAGTGTCTGGCATGTAATAATTTCTCAATGTGTACTTCTGAATAAATTAATAGTCAAAACTGCCACACATGTTAAATGCTGTGGGCAGCAAAAAAAGCTGTGGTTTCAAATATAAGTCTAATGTTTAAAATTACCTGGAGTAGATCTGACATCAAATTGATCCTCGATTGACCTGCATATACCAGGCCAAGTAGCTTCGGAAATCCATTTATTCATTTTTCATATTTAATGTTGGGCAGGGCGCAGTGGCTCATGCCTGTAATCCCAACAATTTGGGAGGCCGAGGCAGGAGGATCGCTTGAGGCCAGGAGTTCAAGACCAGCCTGCACAACATAGCGAGACCTCATCTCACAATAAAATACAAAAAATTAGCTGGGGGCCTGTATTCCTAGCTACTTGAGAGGTAGAGGCAGAAGGATCTCTTGAGCCCAGAAGGTTGAGGCTGCAGTGAACCATGAACCCGCCACTGCACTCCAGCATGGGCGACTGAGAGAGACCCTCTCTCAAAAAAACAAAACAAAACAAAAATTCATGTTAATCTAAATAACACTGGGAAATTGACTATAAATGAAGATTTGAAGCCTCGAGTGTGATAAAAGCTTCAAGAGTTTCAAGAACTTCCCCTGTTAAATAATGGAGCTGGACAAAGACTGGATGATATCTAAGTTTCTTTTTAATTCTAAAGTGAGAAAATTTTAGGCGCGTGTGTGTGTGAAGTTGCACTGCTACATTTCGCCACAAGATGACAGTATATCATCTTTATTGAAACAAAGTACAGTTGCTATATGGAGTAAATAGAAATAAATCTAGAGAGTTCATGAGGGATATAAATTACTTTGGTAAAGATATTATATGTGAGGCATTCATTAGTTTGGGAAAACTATGTATCAAAAAGAGTTAACTTCCTTTTGTAACATATGGGAAATAGTTTGAAATATAGGTTTCTTTCTTCCTCCCTCTTTTCCTGCCTGGTTTACACCTAGTCTTCCTCCTTCCTTTTTCATTCCTTCTTTTTCTTTCTTCCACATTCTCAGTTTATTATGTAACAAATTCCAAGTCAAACGAAACAGAGATATATAAGAAAAAGTTAACATTTTCACCATTTTCTTTTAATTTCACTCCTCTGAAGTAACTAATTTTTTTTTTTTTTAGACGGGGTTTTTGCTCTTGTCACCCAGGCTGGAGTACAATGGTGTGATCTCAGCTCACTGCAACCTCTGCCTCCCAGGTTCAAGTGATTCTCCTGCCTCAGCCTCCCGAGTAGCTGGGATTACAGGCATGCGCCGCCGTGCCCGGCTAATTTTGTATTCTTAAAAGATATGGAGTTTCACCATATTGGTCAGGCTGGTCTCAAACTCCTGACCTTAGGTGATCCACCTGCCTCAGCTTCCCAAAATGTTGGGATTACAAACGTAAGCCACCGCACCTGGCAGTGTCTAATGTTAATAGCTTTTTTCTCATTTCTTCCTGTATATTCCTACATATACGTTCACATACAGACATACAAATTATGTTTCTTTTGAACTTTAAATTAACATCTGATCATCTGTTGGGGGATAAATTTAGATGGTTGAAAACTCTCTGTCTCTCCCTTATCATCACAAATACCACCACTACTACCACCAACACACACAGACACACACACATACACACGCCACCTCTAATTGCACCCTTGTTTCTATTTTTTCCCATCTTGAGAAGAGAAACACTTATGGGGAAATTGAATACTTGGCCTTATGTTATTCCCATTTGCCTTCTCTGTTCTTTATACATTATGCTTTTCCAACTTTACCAGAACCACTTGGATTAAAACTTGTGGATTTCTCGGTAGGAAATGTTCATGTGAAGACACTTCTGTAGTAAGAGAACCTATAGCTGCTCCTGTAGAAGGAAGCTGAAATCATCGCTTCAAGAAAGGGGCTCCTCCCCTTGTAATTATACTGGGTTTTGCATCCAGACTGAGCTTCCTTCCCTCACCCATATGAAGTGTCTACCTTCTGCAGACTCCAGTGGCTCAGGAACCGGGGATGCAGTGCCAGGCTCGTGGTGTCCTGCAGCAGATGTGGGGAGCTTTCCTTCTTTACATTTCCATGAAGATGGGAGGTAAGTCTCAATCTAATAGCAAATGCTGCTGGGAGTTTTCAAAACAATTTTCTTTCAGCTAAATGATTGCCATTTCTGACACTTGTAACAAAAGAGTATTTCTTAATAGATACTTTCTTTATGTGGTGCTAATTGTTATTGGATATCAAATAATAACTACTGCTGCTGCTACTTTGCTGCCATTTATTTCTAAGAATCTCCCCTTAATGGCAGTTCTTTTGTGACCACATGGAGACATCATTTTTAATAATAATGGGGCTTCCAGGAGCGCTGCCCTAGTAACAGTCATGTGTCTTATCTTAGTCACTACAGGACAAAACATTGACCAGCCCACTGAGATGACAGCTATGGAAGGAGTCATTGTCCAGATCAACTGCACGTACCAGACGTCTGGGTTCAATGGGCTGTCCTGGTACCAGCAACATGATGGCGAAGCACCCACACTTCTCTCTTACAATGTTCTGGATGGTTTGGAGGAGAAAGGTCGTTTTTCTTCATTCCTTAGTAACTCGAAAAGGTACAGTTACCTCCTTTTGAAGGAGCTCCAGATGAAAGACTCTGCCTCTTACCTCTGTGCTGTGAGAGACACGGTGACTATGAGGCCTCTTCAGCTGCAACAAAATTCAAAAAGCAACCACAGCAGCAAGAAGTTATATTTCCTGAGTGTATGCCTGCTGTGAGTTAAGACTGGGGACTTTGGAACCAGACTGCGTGGATTTGAGTTTGCTACTTTCTAGTTAGGTTATCTTAAGTCAGTCACTATTTTTTTTTTTTTTTTGGTTTATTTGCTTATCTATAAAGTGAGAATAATAAGAGTATCTACCTCACAAGGCTGTTGTGAGTTATGACCATCTATCTATATCATTTATATCTATAGTTATATCTAGTGTTACTCAGAGAAGTAGTGGCACACAGTAAGGTCTATTTAAGTTTAGTTATTTCAATTCCAGTCTTGAATTTTCACTAAGTATTATGTGGTAGGACCTCTGGGACTGCAACTCAGTATTTCTCTACCCTTGGTTTGTGGAAGGTGAAATCCTGACCACTATTTGTATCTTGTGGGTCTAAAGCTATTAGATGGAGTTTGTCGTTCGGGTGGATTGTTGCTCTGGAAGGATCCCTGTGGTGATACTTATTTTCTTTGGGGGGACTCTGAACTTTGGAAATCCAAATGCAAATGCTTCAGAGTGAGATGTTAAGTATTCTGATTAATTATGAAAGGCTCTCTTCATTATGTGCATCCTTGATAAATATAATCAACATATTTCGGAGGTTTATAACTCAGGCTAGAAGTGAAGTTTAGGGGCTTTAGACGTGGGGAGCATGAACATAATCAGGGGAGTCTGTAGAAGATGGGAAAGAAGAGTGAACACAAGCAATTTGGTAGGAAATCTGGGTGAGGCAGGAGAGCCAGTAGGAGATTCTCATGAAAAGATGTAGTCAGTAGGCATTAAGTACAATAAAAATTTACAGTAAATGTGAAGATTTTCCTTTCCTGCTTTATAATTCCCTTATGTTCTCTTCAGATCTTTTAATGAAGTCTGTTAAATGCTACAACTTGCTGTCAGCTAGGTTTAGAGAGTACATCATTGTGTGTGGCTACCTCCACATGAGATAAAGCCGATCAGAGAGCAGAAGCTCAGATCGCAGGTTATTGGGACATCAAAAGTGAGGGCTGCTCCAAGTTAACATAGTTATATGGTCAGTCATATGCTATGCATTTTTTTTTTTTGGAGTCAAGGATTAAACAAAATTCTCTTTGGGTGAGGTAGGAGTGCTTTTTCATTCTAATTTATAAAATGAACATTTGAGGTGGAATTTGAATAGACATAGTCATACTGGAAAGTAACTTTGACAACATGAATCCAGGCCAGTGAAATGTTCATGTTCCTTTTGTCTAACAATTATTTTTTTGAGCTGTCATTTAAATAAATGCAGGCGAGAAATGAAGCTTTGATTTTTCCAGTTTACAAGGAAACCAAAGAAGCCATAGAAATGATATTTAAGGACTTTGGACTTGGTGAGTATGAATTGTTCATATAGTTATCAATTAGGGAAAACAATATTATGCAAATGATATTGTGAATGCTATGATCAATGGAATATTTTAAAGTTGTATTAGTTTCTATTCCTGCATAACAAATTACCACAACACCTATATATTAGCTTGTAGTTCTGTAGGTCATAAGTCCAAGCAAGTTCAGCTGAGTTCTATGCTTAGGACGTAACCATAGTAAAGTTGAGGCATTGGCTGGGTGAGTACTCAAGTTCTCACCCAGAATTCAGAGTTCAGAGTCCTCTTCCAAGTTAATTCTTTAAGTTTTTTTCTATTATAAATATACATATATATGTATATGTGACGGTGTCTTGCTCTGTTGCCCAGGCTGGAGTGCAGCGGCGTGATCTCAGCTCATTGCAAGCTCCACCTCCTGGGTTCCCGCCATTCTCCTGCCTCAGTCTCCTGAGTAGCTGGGACTACAGGCATCCGCCACCACACCTGGCTAACTTTTTGTATTTTTAGTAGAGACGGGGTTTCACCATGTTAGCCAGGATGGTCTTGATCTCCTGACATCGTGATCCGCCCGCCTAAGCCTCCCAAAGTGCTGGGATTATAGGCATAAGCCACCATGCCTGGCCTATTTTTATATATTTTTTAAAATTTAGAGACAAGGTGTTTCTCTGTTGCCCAGGATAGAGGGCAGTGGTGTGATCATAGGTCACTGTGGGATCAAATTCCTGGCCTCAGGGAATTCTCTCACCTCAGCCTCCCAAGTAGCTAGGGCTATAGGCACACACTACCATACCTGGCTAATTAATATATATATATATATATGTATTTTTGTAGAGACAGAGTCCTGCTATGTTGCCCAGGCTGGTTTTGAGCTCTTGAGCTCAAGCAATTCTCCGGACTCAGCCTTCTCAGTTGGGATTACAGGTGCTTTTTTTTTTTCTGAGATGGAGTCTTGCTCTGTTGCTGAGGCTGGAGTCCAGTGGTATGATTTTGGCTCAGTGTAACATCTGCCTCCTGGGTTCAAGCGATTCTTCTGCCTCAGCCTCCCAAGTAGCTGAGATTGCAGGTGCCCGCCACCATGCCTGGCTAATTTTCCTATTTTTAGTAGAGACGAAGTTTCATCTTGTTGGCCAGGCTGATCTTGAACTCCTGACCTCAAGTGATCTGCTCGCCTCAGCCTCCCAAAGTGCTGGGATTACTAGTTTGGGCCACCGTGCCCGGCTAGTTCTTATTATTATCAGAATTCTAGTCCATGTAGATGTGGGACTAAAGTTCCCATATTCTTAATGTTTGTTGGCTGGGGGCATTTCTGAGCTCCTTAAGGCAATCTGCACTCCTTCTCATGTGAGTCCCACCATCTTCAAACCAACAATAGCAGGTCAAGTTCATCTCATGCTTGGAATCCTTCTGGCTTAATCTTCCAAAGTTCATGTGTTTTTAAGGTCTCATGTCAACAGGTACATAGATATCTCCCTTTTAAAAAGTCAACTGTGGGCTGGGTGTGGTGGCTCACACCTGTAATCCCAGCACTTTGGGAGGCCGAGGCAGGCAGATCGCCTGAGGTCAGGAGTTCGAGATCAGCCTGGGCAATACGGTGAAACCCCGTCTCTACTAAAAATACAAAAATTAGCCAGGCGTGGCTGTGGGTGCCTGTAATCCCAACTACTCGGGAGGCTGAGGCAGGAGAATTGCTTGAACCCGGGAGGTGGAGGTTGCAGTGAGCTGAGATGGCCCCATTGCATTCCAGCCCTGGGCAACAGAACGAGACTCCATCTCAAAAAAAAAAAGAAAACAAAAAAGTCAACTGTTGGTTCAGCGTAGTGGCTCATGCCTGTCATCCTAGCTCTTTGGGATGCCAAGTTGGTGGATCACTTGAGGTCAGGAGTTGAAAACCAGCCTGGCCAACATGGTGAAACCCTGTCTCTACTAAAAATACAAAAAAATTAGCCGGGCATGGTGGTGGGCACCTGTAATCCCAGCTACTAGAAAGGCTGAGGCAGGAGAATTGCTTGAACCTGGGAGTGAGCCGAGATTGCACCACTGTGCTCCAGCCTGGGGGACAGAGGAGACTCTGTCTCAGAAAGTAAAACAAAACAAAACAAAACAAAACAAAACAAAACAAAAAGTCAACTGTGCCATAGAACCCAACACAATTACCAGAGTAATACTGCATCGCATTCAAGATTCTGGGGATTAGGGCAGGGAATCTTGGGTCTATTCACTGAAATTTTACCTACCACATAGCAAATAAAGGATATTCATTAAGACTGCATAAAAATGGAGGGGGAGGGATTGCATTGGGAGTTATACCTGATGTAAATGACGAGTTGATGGGTGCTGATGAGTTGATGGGTGCAGCACACCAACATGGCACAAGTATACATATGTAACAAGCCAGCACATTATGCACATGTACCCTAGAACTTAAAGTAAAAAAAAAAAAAAAAAAAGACTGCATAAAAATGGTGAACTGCTTATGATATAACAATGAATCAAGAAAACCAGGGTGCATAATTGATTATGCAGAATAATCACAGCTGCGTGAAAACTTTTGGGCATAGAAAAAACAGGGAAAGGAATTACAATACTCTCTCTTTACTGCATTTCCCTTACTCAAAGTCTTAGTATGGGTAGATTTTCTTCTCTTTCTCTCTCCCTCTAGTCTCTTGACTAGGATTGGAGGGTGCACTTCCAAGATGGCTTGCTCACATAGCTGTTGGCAAGAGTCCCCAGATTCTTATCACATGTCTCTCTTTATAGTGTGTTGAGAGAGAGAGAGCAAGAGAGAGAGAGAGAGAGATTTTATAGTCCAGCCTCAGAAGTGTTATACCATCACTTCTACTGTTTTTTTTCCCCCAGCTTCTAACATTTTTCTCCTTTTACATATAACAAAGTAGAAGAAATAATACAGGATTCAAACTGCAAAAGTAATTAATCAGTAGAATGTATACACACACAAAAAAATCCCCATAAGAAGACAAGCTTATTTACAATGAAGAAACACATGTACATTTAAGATAGTTCTCATATAAGACATTTAAAAAATAAAACATATCCTACAATGGGCACCACTGTTTACAGCAATATTAAAAGGGAGAAAACAATACTCATTTAATACCACAAGGTAGAGCGTCAGTGGAATAAATTCACAAAACTATATTACAGCTTGTTAGTCCATTTAAGAATTGCTCTAAATATGTCATATTTTTGGCCCTCAGAGGTCTATTCCTACAGATTTCAGATTTCAACTACTCTAAATTTCTAGCTACTGAGAGGTAGAGGATGATTATTGTCATGATTATAATGATTATTAGAAACACACACACACACAAAAACTCACCAAGGAGTTACAAAATCTGTGGAGACCAGAGGCCAACTATCATCACCTCATGTCTGCTCTCACCAACAGCCTTGCATTTTTCAGAGAAATATCTAAAAAAGTAGTCAGACACCAGTGTGGTTATTATCTCCTATGCCAAACCTATTGGGACTGAAACAAGCAGTATTACCATAAAGGAGAACATTGAGGCTTACCTTTCAAGGCTTATTCTG